AAAGGAAGATAGGCTCCCAACTTGGGGAGGCCATCTAGCCTGACCTGAAATGTTCAATACTTGTTTCAGTTATTGCTCATGAACACACATGAGTCAAGCAAGTCTGCCCCCCAAATTAGGTCTTCAACCCTCAGTGTTGGAATACAAAGTCTAACTTGTATTATAGTCATAATTACGACCCTAAATGATCTGACTTCACACAAACATTCTTTTCTTTCCCTAGTTACCATCATCCTTTTGCTAGTTTGCAGTGATCTATAGTACCCTACTTATGATACCTCACCCTACATCCAGATGTGAATCAGTGGTGCTTACTCAGAACACATAAGATCTTTTGTCAGTTGTCTATAGGAAATACCCAAGGAGACTAATACATAATTCTTATTTGTATTTTTTGTTTCATGTATGTGCAAACACATAAACTACATGTACCTATAAACTAGCAGAATTGTTTTTGTTTAGGGGAGTCAACATTTGTATGAGTTATCATTTTCTTTCTCCCACTTCTCATTTAAGATATGTAACTGGTTTATCAAAGAGTCTCATCATGCTGACCCACAAAGAATTACTTCTCCAATATCTTTTGTGTTGTATAACATAAAGTCCAACTTGGCTGTCCTGCTTGGTCACATACTAGTCCAGAGGTTGCGGTGAAGATATATATTCTCATGTGATCTATATATAGTTTTCTGGAGAACCTCAACCCCAGCACATCTTTTCACTGTTATATTAAATCCTCTTTCACTCACCTATTGAGTAAATAATACCTTGAGGCTCTCTTCTCTGGGTTCCATCTCTTTTTGGTCATTTTTGGCTTTCAAAATAACCTCAATTTTGAGACTCACTTCTGTCTCAAACTTCACTCAAATATGCCTCATCCTCTTACTTTAAAGCTGGCCGGTCCTCTTTTAGGTTCAGAGGCCAAGGGGGAGGGGATTTATGGTCTTTTCATACACAGCCCTAATCATTTCTCTCTCTGAATCCTAACCTTCCTTCATCTTGCCCTGTGACATTGGAGAAGCCTGTTAATAGAGAGGATTTAGTCTAAGAACTACCCCATGTTTGGGCCTTAGAAAGGTACTTGGGCTAGTTTAGATATTTATGACCTCTGCTGGAGGTCATAAATTGGCTTCCTCATAAGTTGTTGCACATGGTAATCCTGGAATCATGCCAAACCTTGCCCTTCCACTCATGAAAATCCTCTCCTTAAAACACTATCAATCATATTTAAATACGCCCTTCTTTGACACAATTTGTGAAGTTATAGATGGATTATGCTGTCTATTTTATACATGAATTAAATCACCAAAATATAACTTGCATAGATTTATCAGGATTTGGTGAAGAAGCTAGAAATGTAAGGAATTCCACACTCATTATCCTATATACAGGGTAGTAACCAATTCCAGTGAACAATGGGGAATGCTAATTTCATTGATCCCAAGGATAAGACACAAATTATTTTGGTGGGCTGATGATTTGTTTATCCTTGTCTGCAAAGTCACCCTACCTCAGTTCCTAATTTCTACCCTCCTCCTCAAAGCAATAATAAAATATCCTTTTTTTTTTTCTTAAAACAAGACTCTGAGATGCCCTGAGTATTTCTTGTGGCTGGATATTTCTTCATTTGGCTCAAAAACAACCAGGGCAGCCTGAAGGTTACTATCTCCCTGCTAACATTTGTGTTAATTTGCATCCTAGAATCAATAGATTTCCCCTTTCACAGATGCTCAGCACGACACCAGAGAACTGAAATAGATCTTGACTCCATTTTCTCTCTAGGAACATTACTGCACTGTCCCTTAAAGCCAGTGGACTTCAGCAGGCCTTTCACTTTCAGAAAGGTCCTATCTAAAAGTAGGCTCCATGCCAGGACAGGATCACCCTGAAATTCCACAGAACATACATCAGGGAAGAGGAATAGCACTAGCAAGAATGTATTGCACTCCTGAATATCTCCAACATTAGACACTTGCAATCTTGCTCCAGGGCCCAGAATATTCTCCCCAGAGCTAGAGCTCTGGTAGCACTATAAATGTAGGCAATACTCTTGAGTAGTTAACAAGAATATAGTCAGAAAATAGATGCCAGTCTCTCCTTTCTGTCTGCTCAAGCCCTTGTGAGTCATTTCCTTAGTGTCTCCTCACAAAGGTATTAATAGCTTTTCTATTAGCACCACGTTCCCCATCACACTCTTTCTTCCTCTCAGTTTCTAATCTTCATTTGCTATAAGGTGGCTGCCATTATTACTGACTCTTTGGGCTGCCTCATTAAAGAATCAAGGTGCAGTTTTAATCCTAGTTTTGAGTCTTAGCTGCAATTCTGGGACAATAGTATATATGTGTCTACCTGGACATCCCGCAACATATACAAATAGACTTAGGACCTAGAAAAATGTTTAATGATGACATTGATAAATCCTAAATAGTTTATAGCTGACATGCTGTACTCTCCTTGAATAGCATGATACTTAACCTTTAGCAAAGAGAACAGAGGTAGATGTTTGGGCTGAGAGTGAGTCTGGACAGCTCAGAACCTATGGAAGTACCACAAAGCCAAGATTTTGTAGCCTTCATTGGCAAATGTGGTCTAAAAATGGAAAAGGAGATTGGGGAACATGGGATGAATTATCTGGTTTAGCTGTCTACATTGATCTTACTCACCAGATAATTGCTTAGCACCTTCACTTTCTTTTATTGGGCATCACCTCAGAGTATGATTGTTCTGTAGTCTGTTTTAATGTCCTTTTGATATAGAGACAGCCAGCTATACCACAGTGAACGCTTCATGTCACCACCAGTAAATAAATAGGGAAGATAAGATGAGACAAAGCAAGGCATCACATAGCAATTGCAATCGTGGGAGGAAAAAAATGCCTACCTATTTATTCTGTTCCTTACTTCCGTGAGAATTCATTGCTGTAGCAACACATTAAGTCTTCTTTCTTACATCTTTAGTCAACATAAAGTGGCATAGCCAGTATCAAGTATTGAAATTCACAGAAGGTATTAACAATAACATGGCATTTAACAAGACAACACAATAAACAGATCCACCTACTAAATATACCTAATGTAGCATCTGTTTCCAGACATTGCTCAATGCCATTTAGAATCTGTTCTCATTTCGGCTGATCTCATTGTAGGAAATATAAAACTCAAGCATCAACCTCCTCTGTGGGGACAGGGAGATCATTTACTCATAGGTTGCAGAGGGAATCTGAATAAGAAAACTGGGTTCTTTTTATCAATCTTCCTTATCAAGCCTGTTTGCCTTTTCTGAGTAATTTATCAGCTTCCCGACCCCCCAATTAAAACAACAGAAATGTGAAATATTCCAAAATTCCTCCTATTAGCAATTTCTAGTTTCCTACTATTGTAGTTAGAAGACACATATCACTTGTTTTGCGGTCCAGCATATGATCTATCCTGCATACACTCGAGAAGAGATCTGTTGTTGAATGGGATGTTCTGTACGTGTTTATGAGGTTCAAGTTTCCTGTCAGGATAATATGTTCATTATTCAAAGTGAGGTGCTGAAGCCCCCTACTATTATGTATTGCGATATTTCTCTCACTTCACATCCATCAA